ACCCCACAGGCCCACATGGATGTCATGATGTGAAATAAATATTAATTTAATTTAATTAATAAAAATAATTAATAATTAATATGTACTAATTAATAAATTAATATTTTTAGACATTCTTTAAAATAAAAACTCAAAATTAATGGTCTTCAACACTTATATAATAGTGCAAATATACAACCACCCCACAGGCCCACATGGATGTCATGATGTGAAATGAGCCTTGAATTAATTTAATTAGTCTTCGTCAACTTTGTATATTATGTGAAATGTACCGGTTGGATTGGAGTATCTCCGTCCAATGACCCTAGTAATAATTTGATGGGTTCATCACTTCATAGGACGTGAGGATTCGAATATCACGGCCTACCTTATAGTTGTCGTATGTTTAGCTAAGGGAAGTAGAGAAAAATAAAATTTTTAATTAATTAAATTATAACATTTAAAATATTATAATTTAATTAAAAAATTTATTTTTTTAAAACTAAATATATTATTAATGGTAAGTATTATATAGTCATTATAATTTAAATTACATAATTTTTTTTATATAATTTAAAATTAAAAATTCTAATCGTATAAAATAAATATTCATACAACAGGCTATTATTACGAAGGAGCAACAATGGAGGACTTGCAGTGTTCCGCATGGAAAATTCCATTCTTCTATGCTATCCTACCCCCACATGCTTGTGATGATGTGAACGAGCCTTTAAGCTGTCTTCCTATACGCAAGAAGAGGAGTGCTAGGGGCACTCGCCTTCTGCACTCTCCGGCCAACACTTTCACTTTTATTGGGCCACGTTATTCTGGTCGGTGTGAGATTGCACTCAAAGCCTGAAACAAGCTTACGTGGCCCAATGAAAGGGGATGTGTTGGCCGGAGAGTGCAAGAGGCGAGTGCCCCTAGCACTGCTCTACGGAAGAATCTGAAATGGACCTTTTATTTTTGGCCTTGGAAATTGTGCGTACTTTTTTCGTGGAAGAGGAGTGCTAGGGGCACTCGTCTCTTGTACTCTTCGGCCATTACTTTTCCTTTCATTGGGCCACGTAAGCTTGTTTCAGGCTTTGAAGTGCAACCTGTCGCCGACAAGAATAAAGTGGCCCAGTAAAAGTGAAAGTGTTAGCCGAAGAGTGCAAGACGTGAGTGTTGAAAATTTTTATGTAAAGTGTCGCTAATTGTATTTATAATTGTATTTAGTTTTTAAAAATTGAATTAAATAGAAAAGTTGGTAAAATTTAATAAAATAATGTGATCTAAGTAGATTTAAGTTTTATTTTAATTTTATATAGTGTAATATAAATATGTATAGGGTCTAAAAGTAAAGGTGAGTTACTTGATAGGGGTGCTTAAAAAATTATTATAATGAATTAAGTCTTATTTTTCAATCAAAAAACCCTACTTCTATAGAGTTAGGGAGTGAATGACTCATTGATTGTCACTACACAAAAGTTGATTAGAAAAAAAAAACTTAAATTTTAATACTAACTGTATTTATTTTGTAAATTTTATCATAAAATTTCTAATTATGATAATTTTTAAAGATTTTCAAAAATTCATAAATAATATATTAATTATAAAATTTTAAAATACATAAATTATT